AGCTGATATTGTACTACTTTTAGCTGATATTGTACTACTTTTAGCTGCGCTGTTAGCTTTAACGGCTCAGGTTCAGCTTCTCCAGCATCACAGAACTTCTGCAGAAAAAGCTTCTTTCTAGATTAGATTTAATTCATTTGGGAATGATCCATAAAGTTATTGATTAAATCCCTCTTGTTGACTGTACAGCTCGCTCTGTGAAACCTGTTCATGGTGAATTGATCAGGTTTCATAAGAAGTCTCTGCTTTTTAGACTTTGGACAACTCTACACAGTGATGTTGAGCAACGTGGCTGTTTTTGTCCTACAACAGTTGCCGTGCACATCGAACGTGCACTTCTATTAATTTAAAGACTGGCAAACTGTGAGATATCTTCACACTGTTTAATGTGCTGTACAGGTCTGAGAAAACTCTGGATTATTTATTCACAGCTCAAACAGAACTGTCAAAAATTATCTATTTTACAACCTGGTGAGAAATTATTTAAAGAATCAGGTGATTTTGCTGCAGATATCAAACGAAAATGAGCAGCAGAGGGAATAGATGAAAAAAGTGATCCAATAACATTTTAACGTTTTAAAGTTGTTGAAACTAAATGGTTCGTTTGGTTCATTAAAATAGATTTATCTGCAGCAGCATTTAAGTTTTAATTTCAGTGTTAAGAATTCGAGACATTTTCATCTATCTAGTTTAGTAATAGTTATAATTCTCCCATTATTAATAAAAACTATTTTGAAAGAATCTGCAAGGACATGCACTTAATTTGAAAAACCTAAACCGGATGCAAATACGGGTTTGTCGCTAGCTTAACGATGTTCGGAGCTTCGCGAGGCGTTCGGATTATTTTTGCAGCTAAATTAAACTCATTTATTACAAGGAGGGACTAAAATAACGTTACTCACCTTGTTATGGTGCTGCTCATTTCCGCTCTCACTAAAAACTCCGCGTCTTTGTGGGAAACCAGAACCGCCGGACAGCTCCTGCTGCAAAATGCCACGGAGCAGAGAAAAGCGAGTAGGCGGTAATCCACTTCCGGTCAACCAGGAGCCAATCAGAGCTCACCTGACGAGTGTCGTCATCAAACACGCCGACGCTTCAAATTCATAACATTTACATTTATTATTTTTATAAGATTCTTAGTGAGCTTAATATTTTAACTTTTGTTTTTACACATGCACATAAAACAAAAACCTTACTTCAGCCATTTTGAAGTGAGGTTATGTGGAAAGGTTATGGACAATTAGTGTCTTACCTGTTGTGCATACCTCTTAGAATAAGAGAGTTTAAGCCAAACTGAACTGATGAGCTCATAGATCAGACCGGTCAGATCTGTGCAGATCAACTTTACAAGCCAAGTGTGCCATCTTTAAACAATTACAAATTTATAACGGTATTTCTAATTTATTTCACCCACTTCACTTTGGGAAATTTTGCATTAAATGATTATTATTTTTGGCTTCTTCCTTCTTCAGGGTCACCACAGTGAACTGAGTCGCATGAAGACTTGGCAGATATTTTTATGCCGGATGTTCTTCCTGACACAAACACACACCGCTGAGCTACCACGGCCCTCTGTGTGGAGCAGAGAGCTGCTGTCTGGGGAGCAGGTCAAGGGCCTTGCTCAAGGGTCAGAATGGGGCAAATGAGGGTGGAGACGGGTGTGGATGCTTCACCACATTTTTGATGTTGTCGGTACCGGGAGTTGAACCAACGATCTTCCGATCACAGGCTCACCCTCTCTAACCTCTGCTCCACCACTCCCACATTTAATGATAAGTCATATGTTTTATAAATGATTTAAAAAATAAAAAAAGTATTTGACCTACTGGTATTAATTTGTCAAAACAATTTATTTCTGGTTGTTTTAGTCGATAAATTTAAACTAGACCGTCTCGTCTCCCCAACAGAACAGCTGATGCTAGCAAGCTAATGCTAATAGCGATTAGCACCAGCTAGGTAGCACCAAGTCAAGTTGTATTTATCTATACTATGTATTAAACCCTTATTTTTCATAACTTTTAAGTAGCTCAAATTTAACAAATTAGTCATTTTAACAATTTTTGGGTAGTGAACTGAACTCTG